GAGCCGGGTTGTGTCCGGTCTAGTTGAATCACTCCGGGCTGAGTGACGTCGCGTCAGGTAGATCGGGTACGCATCGGTTTAAGAGGGATCTAGTCTGGTTCAGTGGGTTCGAGTCCGATTGAATCGACTCGGGTCTACACGCTGCTGGACGTAACGGGAAGAGAGTAGGAAGAGGAAAAGTAATGAATGAGTTTTGGTAGTGCTCGATGTGCTTCCGTGAGCTGAAGCTGAGACCGAACTGGACCAATGGGGGAAGATCGACTCAGGACGAAACAAGGCGGGGCGGAGCGCGGCGGTGCAAGACGGAATGGAAGGTGAAATTTGGTGATGTTGCGCGTGGTGTGAGGTGAGCGAAAGGTGCAGGAGAGGGGAAGCGGGTGAGATAAGGAAACGGATTTGCGGAGACTCATGGGTGACGGTGTAAGGGGCGGCGGGAGGCTTATCACTGCGATGCATGTGACAATTCTGTGGAACGATGCGGGAGCTGGTGAGACGGAGTGGGGTCGGGTGAGGTGCTGTGAGCTTGGACGAGACGAGAAAAGGCGGAAAAGTGATCTGGGGACGAGCCGATGTTCAGTGATGTAAGACGGGAGAGAGCGAGCCGCGCGGAAATGCAGAGAAAGGGGAAGTCCCCAAGGTCCTTTCTGGTGACCCATCACCGTTTGTACCGTTTGGCGCGCACCCACGACTTTTGTTTACTGTATTGCTCAATTGTAACAGCAGCGCTAATTACGAGAACAACACTAAGTGCCAATAGTACTTAAAGTACTGTTTCAAATTAGTTACTCAACGAGAGGGTTATTCAGAAAGCTATCTTGATAAGGAACATGGATTTTAAACTTAGATGCGTGAGTGAAGCAGTGCATCCTTTTAAATTAAAATACAAGAAATAAGTGATGAAAAAATTATTCAAAATGGATGGCAAGTATTTTTTCAATGAACTTTAGATTTGTATTTTCGCACCATAAACGCAGCTGCATTCTCTCATCATATAGATAGTTTTCAAAAGGGAAAAGTGAGTTCTTGAAATTCGAGATAATTAAAATAGGGTTAAGCTGGCGGTTATTCACTTACCACACTTCCTCCAAGATCATATGACTTGCGTCCCTTCTTCATGGTGATGAAACTGAGTTTAATTGGTGCTCACTAGTGGCAGTATCACAATCTGTAATAAAAGAAAATTCCATTAATACGTTGTCAAACGAATAAGTAGTATTTGTTAAGTGGCGAATGGCAAAAAGTTAATCTAACTATTAGTTATCCGTAATAGTTATTCCACTATGATATTTAAATACCATGTAATGAAATCCACGTGTTTCGTAAAACGACAATGTGATCCAATTTCAAAATCAGCTTCCTCGCATAGACGCATGGCTTAGACGTAAATGAGTACAATAAAACAGGAAAGAATTGATCAAACTAAATGCCAATTGGAAGGCGAAAAAGAATAGCCGCATCAATTTGTCAAGCTCTCTTCATCAAGAACCAACTTTCCCTTTCATTAATGTCATTGAACTGCTTTTGTGAGAACTTGCGAGTACAATTTATTTACGTTGCGACACAACTGAAACGACCTATAAAATCATTGAGGCAACGGAAAAAAAATTATGACTAAACCATATTTTTTTTCAATGTGCTCTTTTTCAGAGCAGGTGTGGAGAGCCGTGCGACGAACGGCCTGGAGCTGTCAACAGGCCCGTCAGCAGAAAAACGCGCGTTGCCGAAGGCCGCTGTCCAGGAAGCGGGCGGTGCGAGCACTGGGCAAAAATAGGCCCCGGCCGGTGGCTCACCGAGTCGCCACGCGGAAAGAGCGAGGCGCCT